GTGGAGGACTCGGGGCCATGGCAGGATGTGTCCAGATGCGCTGTGGACACTTTGATTCACAGACTCCCAGAGACAAATCATCCTTCTTATGTCCCCCGTGGGGACACCGTGGCTCAGAGAGGTGTGCGATCTGTGCTGTCCGGCTGCTGTGGACAGACCTGAGCCCGGGGCTGGGGGCCTCGGCGGCTAGCCAGGCAGTTAGGAAGGTGCTACTAAGCGTTTCCTCTCCTGCAAAGTCTGCTCGCATCTGGCTGCTGTTGTCTCCTGCTGTGTCGCCTTTTTATTGTGGATTCATGAGGTTTCTATGTTAAGAATGTTAACTGCCATCTGTCATATGTGTTACAAATGATTTTTTCCTATTGATTTTTTAAAACTTTTTAGCTTTTTGATGTTTTATATACAAAAGTTTTGGTTTTTAATTAGCCATATTTGCCAATTTTTTAAAATAAAGTAATGCTTTTAAAAGTCTTTAAAGTAATGCTTATAAATGCATTTCTCACCTCCCAATGTTATAGAAATTGTTTTCTTTCAATGTATGGCTTCATTTTAAAAATTAAAAAATGCTATTTCAGAACAATTTCCCGGTGGACTGTGGGATGAGGTAAGAATCTAGTTTTATTTTTGTGAATAGTTAGCTGTTTACCCTAACATCACTAGCGCGCGCGCGCACACACACACACACACACACACACACATGCTTTACTATGTCCTGGAGGGTTAATGGGCCCAGAGACCCTTCGTGCAAGGGCTTGGAGACCAGACCCGGGTCTGGCCTGGCTCTTCCACAGCTTTCTGCATTTCCCAGACCCTCTGTCAGCGTGACTTCCCAGTGTGGAGTCCCTGATCCTCCCGTGTCCCTCAGCACCCTGGCCCTCTCCAGAGAGGAGGCTCGGACCCCGACTCCTTCCTTCTCCCTTCCACCCACCCCTGCCCCTCTCCCCTCACTATGTCTGGGTGCTCCCAGCTTTCCCCACGGAGGTTTCTCTGCCTCCCTGAGCTGTGCCTGGGGCTGACCCACAGCCCTGAGGGTCTCGTGCTGCCAGGGCCTGCAGGTCCAGTCACCCTGTGGCAGGGCGGGTTGGGGTTGGCCCAAGCAAGGCACCCCAAGGATGGAGGTCTAGGTGGTGTGAGTGCCGTGGCTCTGCACCTGTCGAGGCCAACAGACGGAGAACAAACCCCACTTCCTGGGACACAAATCACAGCACGCTTTCCTTCCCTGTGTGCCTGCGTGGCCTCGCCAGCGGTCACTGTCCGGCTGACCCCTGTCCGGCAGCATCGTAGTTGCCAGAAGAGCTGTGGGCTCACCCCCAGCCTCACAGACCCAAACTCCCGGGGCTCCACTGCCCTCACAGCCCAGATGCCTGTGTTTGTTAGTTTTCTTTTCTCTTCCTACATCTCTTCTTCTTCTTAATAATAATAATAATAAATAATAATAATAATCTACACTAATAAAAGAGAAAGATGGTAATTAGCGTACGACCGCTACCCTTTTCATTGGCTAATCAGTAAG